GTTACTAGTAGTAAGGCCAGGAGCTACTAGTAGTGTCCGATCGCTACTCGTAGCGATGCCAGGAGCGCCTAGTAGCTTCTTGTTACTACTAGTAAGGCACCTGTTACTAGTAGCGATGCCCTTTGTTACTAATAGCGATGGCGGCCAAAGCTTGCGCAGGAGCATCTTCGAGAATTTGCCACAGGACGGGTCCTCGCAAGTCATGTGGACTGAAAGACGGCCGGAAAACCAGAGGGACCGGAAAGCCTGTTTCATGAGGAAGATGCTTTTGGATTTGATCCCGAATCAGGCCGCAAGTTCAGGCAGGTGCGGGTTGCAACTTTGGTCTTTTCTCATCTCAGTTCATCTCAGTACCTTTGTCTTTGAAGGTTGTTGCTGATCATTAGTGCTGCACTAAGCAGCATCACCTCCTTCGCTGTAGATCGGGGCGCTGGTGTCTTACAGGCACGTGTGGTCGGAAAACCGAAAGACGAAAGATGTCGGTGGAGGTTCAGGCCAATGCCAGAGTAGTCGTAAGTCGTAAGAGTTTGAGATTCAAACTTTCATAGCAGTGACTTGTCGCCATCTGACACTCCAGGGGATGACAAAGGAGCTGCTGCTGGTGGTCGAAGACTTCATGGGTTTCTCCTCGCCACTTTGTCGTTCCAAGTGGCGACGTAGCACAGTGGTAGCAGTAGAACTGCAGCCCTAGTAAGGCCAGCCCCGTTCGTAGCGTCCTTGTTCGGACGACAGAGAAAGGGATGGAAAAAAGGATCCACAGAGAAAAGAGAAAGGAAACCGCAAAGCAATAGCGATGGCCTCCAGCCTACCAATGACAAAGAAACGACGAGTTGAGTCTGTGTAGTGGCGGAGTGTATCTGGCAAGCTTTGTAGCACACTTGTCGGTTTGTCTTTGCTCAGGAAGATCTTGCACTTCTGGGTCATATTTTTCTGCGCCTTGGCAGGTGTAGAGATCCTATTCATTCTTGAAAGGATTCGTCCAGCATGGGGTAAATAAACGGATCCTGTGCTTTTCTTCATCTCAACGGACAGAGTGTTGCATAGTGAATCATGGTGAGACATGGTGAAGCTATTCGGTTGGAGGCCGCTGGTGGTCACAGTGCGGTGACTGTCACCCACTCACGCCACAGGCAACGGCGCCTTGCTCTGGAGCGCCTATGCTTTGGTGCGCTTCAGCCCTGAGGCGGCTGGCTCAGGTCTCCCGGAGGTGAAATGCATCTTGAGCGCCTGGGACAGAAGAAAGACGAAAGACGTAGAAAGAGGAAACACACAATACATCAAACATGTAAATCAGATTCCTTCAAGAATTCGATTTGGAGATCGGATTCCTTCAAATTAGATTGGTTTCTCAAGCAAACATTCTCCAGCCACTCTTGCGTTGAACGAGTTTTGCAGAGTCTCGCAGGAGTGCTTCGCATCCGAGGTGGCATCGAGCTTTCCAACTTCCTCCAGCCACGGGTGTTGGCGGCCAAGTCCCTGGGTCTTACCCTGGTTCTTGGGGCATCAATGCCGGTGGGCAAGGACAGGGCGTGCCATGAAAAAGAATTTGGCATGTCCGACATGTTTTCGTGGTGCACCAGTATCTGTGAAAACCATGTGTTTTCAGACAAGTGTTTCAAGGCAAAACACGTGAGTCACAGTTTTTGCAAATGCATAGCCCGTGTTAAGACCGGCTGGCCACTCAGTGCACCGAAGGAAGGGCCTTTCGTGCATATCGCATCCTGTATCAGTGCGATTCTGCTGCCTCTTGACAATACCTGGTTTGAAGTGACCTGGGGCCTAAGCCTATAGGGGTTCTGTGGGTTTTGGTCACCTTCCCATTTTGTAGGGGGTTACAACGGACACAAACACAGACACGCTGAACTGACTATATTGCAGAGCAGAACCTGGCAAAAGAATGAATCATTTGGCCACTTCAAGTTCTTTTTCTGTGCAGAAACAAGCATTTTTGTCACTATTTGTAAGAATCTAGTAGGTGGAGGTCATCGCTATTAGGTTGGAGGCCATCGCTACGAGTAACAAGAAGCTACTAGAAACAAGCGCATTATCACGCGCTTTTTTGCATTGATTCTCCTTCCCAAAAGCTCCCTCGGAGTTGTCGCCGAGGGAGTTGGAGCGGTGCTTTGCTAACGTGAGCTTGGACAGACAGGAGCAGTTTGGAATCGCTTCAAGTCTTCAACAAGCTGTGGAAACACGAAGTGAAAAGAACAAAGAGAAAGGAAAGGTCACGAAAGGTCTAAAGGTCCAAAGAACACAAAGTGGCTTCCAAGTCTCTTAGGTGCATAGTTTCAGCCGCTTGAACTAAGTTTTCGATGCCATGGCGGCCATGCTTGTCATGCTTGAAGCTACCAGGAGGTGCTGCTGGCTGCAGTGGCGGTTGGAGTGGGTGCCACCTTTTCCGCTCCTGTCGGAGGAGTCTTGTGCCATGGCAGACATTAGCGTTTTACACTTTTTTAGCCCGGCAAAAGGATAAGTAATCAAACATATATAAGTAGCTTTTTAGGCGCCAGCCGTAAGGGTTTGGTTATGAGATACTTGTTGAAGCCTAACACTTTTCCAAGCACGTGTTTTCAAAGTTTCTTCTAACAGCACCAATTGGAAGCAAACAGGACAACGAGTCAAAGGTGAACGTTGAAAAGGCCATTTGTAGCATGTAATATAGAACTGAGAAGATGTTGTTTGTCTTGCTTTTGGAGGTGACCAAAAAGAACATTTCGGCAATTTGACAAGAATGCTTTTGCAAAAAATGCATGGGCTTCCTGGCTTTGAGCAAATTTTAGCATGGGTTGTATGTTCCAAGAGTTGATGAAGGTTCGCCTTGGAGCTGATGATGCCAAGACTGTATGACACCTCCTCATATTCCGCGTGCTTCTTTGCTTCCACCTTTGGGACCTTTGACACTTGGATTTGAGAAGGCGCGCTGCCTTGCTTCGCCTGAAAGTGGCGGCCTTTCTTTGGTTGGCGGCCATTGCTCTTAGGTTGTTGCCTTTCTTCCCCATTTGTCTGTCGAGGAAGGCTGAGAAGGCCGATGCTGAGGTCTTCATGTGCTTGAACATGCTCTTCTCTGGAAGTGGTCAGCTGAAGCCTCTCTTCAATTCAGACATTACAGCTGAGCAGGGGCCCACTTTAGAGGCTGAGAGGCTTGGACACAATGTGGTCAGAGAGTGTGTGTGCTTTACTGGCATCAAGTATCTTCTCCATACATCAGACAACTGACTTGGGTTCATGGATTCTGCTGACTCTTGATCCAGATACTGCTTTCTTGGTGGCTTCCCCAAGCTTCCTTTGGCCAAGGATCCTTTTCATCATCCTTTGCTTGATCACTGGTGCGCTCAGTGGAGCTTTGGCAAGTGCCTTCGTGCTGTGCCACAGGCGGGGCCGTAGCGCTGGTAGGTCTGAGAGAGGCTGTGAGGTGCGCTGGTAGGCTGTGAGCATGTGCTCACCAGGCGTCCTCACACGAACCTAAGAGCGATGGTGTTCACCCTACTAAGGCGCGCGGTTGGGGCCATGAACGCTCTTCGAGGTTTAGCGCCGCTCTTTGGGGAGACGCCACTGGGCATCCACTCCGAAAGCATTAGGATCGAAATCGGTTCTATGGTTCCGACGAACTGGGAGAGTTAAGGCATTTCTTTTGAAGCCTTTTAGAGTCTTTTAAAGCCTTTTTGCTTTGTTTCTGGAGAAAATCAGGAAAGCTGGCCAGTCGGTACCACGAGACCTAGTGATCTTCCTTTGTGCCGGTGGCATCGGAGCGATGCTGCAAGCGGGCGCTGGCAGCAAGCTCCTGACTTTGGGCACTGGGCCGTAAGCACCTCAGCTTTATGCTCTAAGAGCATGCACCCTGGAAGAGACGCACTTCAGAGCCGTGTTTCTTTTTCAAATATGTTTTTCTATCAGCTGGTTGAGATACTGTTTAATCAAATTGCTGTCATTCGGCGATGGCTCAGGTTCCTCAGCTGCATATTTAGCACCCAAGCTCATCTTACGAATCCAGAGCTGGCTACGTTGGGTGGTCTAATGATCCTCTTCTTGACGCAGCTTGGTTTGAGAACTGCCGCATGTGCGGTGCAAGTGCGAGATGCGGAAGCTGAAATGAAAAGGGCTCGCTACTAGTAACAAGTGCATCGCTTCTAGTGACAAGTGCCTTACTAGTAGTAACAAGGACGCTACTAGGGGCTCCCGGCATCGCTACGAACGGAGCGATCGGATGCGACTTTCCGATCACCGGCTCTGAGGAAGACTAGCTTCACGGTCATGGCGCTTTCGATGCCTGTGCCGGCAGGACTGGCAACAAAACGAGCAGGTACTGTAGCAAGCATTGCATCACCCTTTTTCCTTTCTTCTTTTGCCTCAGCAAACGGCATACATGCTGCTTGGAGAAGACGGTCACATTGAGAGGAAGAGATAGCGGGAAGCCTTTGTGCTGTTGTGACAACGAAACATTTGAATCGGTTGAGGAGTGGTGGCCCCATCATTGATGCTGGGAGGAATCTTCGGTCGCTTGGTGGCTGCGATGTTGCCTCAAAACTGTATCGAATATTTGGCGCCGGATGGGGACTTCGGACAGTACATCGCAAGGCTCGAGTTTGTCGTTTCTATCGAGAGGCAAAACAAACATGCAGTGGAGTTGGACACTAATTTAAGATGCCCCAAGCATCAGTCAGCAAACATGAGCGATGAACTTCGCAGTGCCTATGTGGAGAAATGGAAGGAAAGTAGGAATGATAAAAGAAAGAAAGGAAGAACGAAAGAAAGGCCTAAAGGTCTATAAAAGGAGCAATCGTCTAGTTGCCAATTAGGAACGAGTGGAGGATGGAGAGTACTCCTGCAAGAAAAACTATGCTTGCCTGTCACTTTCTGGGTGTCGGGAAACAGACAAATTTTAGGTCCTGTCACTTCAATCAGAGAATGTCAAGCAAACCGCTGAGATTGAATCGTGCACCGTGAGGCTGGCGATTGTGGGTGCCACTTGCTTCTGCGGTGCTGTGTGCCGTGTTGGGATCTTGGAACATTTTTGATGACTTCTTAGAATATGTTTGAAGAAGACAGACCTGCCTTCTTGGACAACTAACCCGTGCTACTAGGTTGGAGGCCATCGCTATTAGGTTTGTTTGTTTGATCAACAAGATCACTAACCCTAGGGCTCCAAGTACATCGGGAACCACATTGAAAGCAACCAGGTGAACTCCGTGGTCGTCACTGTCTTCGAGCTCATCGCTGTCCCGCGATTGATCCTGCCGTTGACGTTGGCCACGATGCTTGGACCTCTCAAGAGATGCTCTTTGCTCCTAGTAGCTTCTTGTTCCTAGTACTAAGGCCAGGAGCCCCTAGTAGCGTCCTTGCTCCTAGTAGCGATGCCCTTTGCTCCTAGTAGCTTCTTTTCTTGGCACCGTGAGATGAAAGAAGAGGTCATTTTTCCAAGCAACATCAGGGTCTTGAGGGATTCAGCTTGATCAAGCTTGTGAACATAGCCAGGATTGTGTCCAACTTCTGTGCGAACAGAGTCTTTGCAGCAGCCAAAGGGGACAAAGGATGAAGAACAGTATGAATTGATAATTATTCATTATCAAATGCTATTTGTAGTTTTCTATGTTGATGTGAAGCCAAGGTGTTGGTCCCTCTATCTTCGACTCCATCCTCCTCATGCGACTTGCCTTAAGTCTTGAAGGGTCCTCGATCTTTCCGCCACATCCGTCCGCAGGAAGAAGATCCCAGCCATGCCGACCTTGAGGGCTTCGGCGCGTGCCTTGCAATCGGTCCGGAAGGCCAGATCATGCAGACACATCACGATGTTTGAAGATGATTTTTACTCTTTCCTTTGCATTAGGATGGAGGCCATTGCTACTATTTCAGATTTCAGATTGTGTGTTCTTGCTTTGGGCCATCCTGAGATCCTGGATCCAACGATGATGAGCCTCTGCCTGCCACGCCGTGCCCAACGTACCGACTTCACACGATTGCATTTCGTCGCTTGGTTGAAGTGGTTGAAGAGCCCACTTCAACTCCCAGTATCAAGAAAGAAATGGCCTCCAACCTGATAGCAAAAGGAACCTAGTGATGGACTCCAACCTACTAGCGCTCCCAGTATCAAGATCGTGGTTCCAGTATGGTTCCAGTGTTTGAGCATTTTGACACCATGGCCGTGATACAATCCGAAACTCATCCAGCCGTGACAGATCAAGAAGAGCCGAGAGGATGAGGGAGACTCGACTGCACGCTCGGACTGTGGACCTTCGCTGTGCCTTCTCCAAACAAAGGTAGGAACAAGGATGCTACTAGGGGCTCCTGGCATCACTACTAGGAGCAGGGACGCTACTAGTAGCTCCTGGCCTTACTACTAGGAGCAATGTTCGCTACTAGGAACAAAGGGCATCGCTACAGATTCTCTTTGAGAACAGCGGTGAAAGGTCAGAGAAGGTCGTCTAGACACTGGGCCCAACCCCCGGAAACTGAAGCAAACTCAGGACGAAGCGTGCCTCGCATGATCCCCATTGTGGACGAGGCCTCTGCAATCTGAAATGTGGATCATCCATTTTGTGCAAGAAAGAAGGATAAAAGACAGAAAGAAATGGCCTCCGACCTAGCGATGTCCTCTGATGGCACTGCCACGATCCCTTTTTCTCCGTGACTCCTTACAAGCCCTGACGATCGATTTGTCGGATCGTCGACATCGTCTGACGAAAGGTGAAAACAGGTGGTGAACCTCGCCTGGTGCTGCTCGGTGCTGTGACCTGGGAGGACTTAGATGCTCTACAGGTGGCTGGAGGTGCAGTGCAACAGCACGCAGCGCAAGACATGACAAGAACTTCATCCTAGTGGCGTCCTTGCTACGAGTAGCGATGCCAGGAGCTACTAGTAGCGATGCCAGGAGCTACTTTCTTCGCTCAAATGCACTGTTTTTAGAGTGGTAGGCGAAGACATGCTGGTCTCGGCCGCGAAGCTGGGCAAGATCTTGCAGGATCCTTTGCGCATCAACCCTCACATCTCCTTGAAAAAGGCGCCATGAAGCGGAAGCCTATTAACAAAGGGCATCGCTACTAGGACGCTACTAGTAGCTCCTGGCCTTACTAGTAGGAACAAGAAGCTACGAGGAACAATGCTGATAAGACTTTCAGAGTTGAAGATCAGATTTGGATCATGAAGTGTGAGATCCGAGATGTAGAGATGGGGTCAAACATTCGCAGAATAGAGCATGTTTTTATGAGACTAGGAGCAAGGACGCTACTAGGGGCTCCTGGCCTTACTACTAGGAACAAGAACACTACTAGGAGCAAGAAGCTATGTGTTTGGTCGGAGGCCTACATCGAAAGCCAATCAGTTCCACGCAAGGGTCCTATGATGGTCGTCGAGGAACCTTGGGGTTTTGATCATCGCATTTTTTCTGAAGAAACAAGGAAAAACGAAAGCTTTCTCTATTTCTCAGCCTTCGTCTCCCTTTTGTAACTTTCTTAGGTTGAATTAGAGACGCTTGTTTTGTTTGAAAGCAGTGAATAGAAAGCTCTTTTTGTTCTCAACCGTTGCCTATGTGCTCTAGAGCCCTCTAAGAGCTCGCCACAGAGCCTCTAGAAACCGTCCTCTTCAGAGGAACAAGCTGGACCTAGTCTTACCCTTTGGGCCCTCACTAGTCTCTGATTACTTCTTTCAGGCAGAAGTGAAACAGTTGGTCCAAACAAGGCCAATCGGGTTTGTACAAATTTGTATAACTCAAACAATAAGAATGGCTGGAGGTCCGCCCGTCACTCACTTCTCGAGGACGGCTTCCTCGTGGGCATCTTGCCGCACGATGATTTGGTGCGTTCCGGAGCTGAAGCCGCCAAGCGCGGCTCCTGAGCGCCCCCGTCGAAAGCTTTGAGAATGACTCAGAATGACCAAATGACTACATGCTATGGTTTTCAGTGGTGCAACAAGACATGAATGCAGAAGAAGTCACAATATATGATGCAACAGTGAATTAGACTCAGACTACACACAGGCACTCAAAATGGAACGATCACTGCGCTTTACGGCGATTGTTTGCAGAATTATGAGCTTCATGGAGCTTCATCGAGCTTCATCGAGCTTCCGATTTGGTGCCCCAAGAGACACCGGTGAAACTGGGGGACACTGGAGCTGTCACTGACGCTCTGAGCTTCTCAAGAAGAGAAATCAGCAAAGGCCACGTCTGTGTCGCAAATGCCACGTTTCAAGAGACACCGAGAGGAAACAGTGTGCGATGCTCAAGATCGGCTTGATCTCTCTATCCCATGCGTGCAACTTCACCTGCTCCGTATGGTTTCTCCTCGCCGATGGTCCGAGGCTCATCGGCTACGACGAGGTACTTGGCTGGAGTCCCTAGATTTTTGCGTTGAAACTGCATCTGGGCTCATCGGGTTCAGGTTGATGGCGGTTGATGGTTCATCTGGACATGACAGGTATGCGCCAAGACTTCAGATCGAAGAGGACTTGGAGAGACATGAAGGCTGCACTGGACTCAAGTTTATCACAGCTCAGCTGCAGCTCCGTGCTTCAGCGGATGAAATGAGCAACAGGAACTTGGCAAATGAATCCAAATGAGCTTCCCATTTCCTGACGTGAACTCGTAAACTTGATACAAGCTTTACCAGCTTTGCCAGCTTTGCCTAGAGGCATTCTTGTATTTATATATATATATATGTAATATTTACATTTTCTCGCAAACTCAACTTCCTGCAAGAAGACTGAGGTGTGAACTGCTTGGCTTGGAGCCGTGATGGAAGCCTTCTAGTCCGGAGCTTGAGCTTGAAGTCGGCTCGTGGCTCTTTGGGAGCTAGGAGCGATCGGACGCGACGAACGGGGCTGGCATCGCTACGAACGGAGCAAAGAGACGCTACAAGTAACAAAGGGCTAGAGCTGCTAGCGGCGCTCAGCATGGTTCTTTTGGTTCGTTCACACTGGTGAGACATGAAGAGATCGCTCCTTCAGTAGGGTCTTTTGCTCAAAAGCTTTGAAGCCATCCAGACGTATACCGTACAACATTGCAGCCAGCCGGTATAATTTGGCTTGCGCACGCTTGCACATCCTGCACACTTGACGCATGACTTGTTGGACTTAATTTGATCCCTCTGATTGAGGCTTCCGGCAGCGACGACACGTGCCTTTGCATTTGGTCCTACAGTCTCAGGCAGCTGCAGCGGCAGCTCTTCCTACTTTTAACCATTGAAAAGCAGTTTGAAAGACGGTTGATGTCGGTTATCCAATCTGATCAATGAAATGACATCCTTGCAGACCTTCCAGTTGGCCAGGATGCGGTTGAAGCTCTGCCTCAAAACAGGGCATGCTGCAAATATTTTTGGCCACGAGCTTGGGGCCAGCTCTTTGAAAACGGAAGTAGCCCTGGCTCAATCTTCTTTCACTTCTACCATCAGTTCTCAAGCCATCTTAAGCCTCTCTGCCAGAGTTCACTAGATGACTAACGTTAAACATTTCTTTGCCGGGAAAGAAAACGTTTCCGCCATCCGAGGTGTGGCCTTCTTGGCCAACGAGCCACTCGTGTCCACCTGCTCCGTCGATGGTGTGGAACCTCAAAGAGTCCGGAGGAGCACACTGCGACGGGACGTGAAACACATACTACTAGGAACAAGGGCATCGCTACTAGAAGCAAAGGGCATCGCTACAAGGAGCAAGGACGCTACTAGGGGCTCCTGGCCTTACTACTAGTAGCAATGTTCGCTACTAGTAGCAAGACAACAAACGACATGGGCGTCTGCTACGTTTGTTTACTCTCTGTTACTAGTAATGCAAAGACCGGATTAATAAACCCCCCCCCCACATGGTAGGTCAACAAGGTCAAGAAGGTATGAGATACCACTCATGAGGTCCACTCCCCCTGAAATATCGGATCAGGGAGCCATCGTAGTCGCAGTCGTCATCGGTAGTAGGTAGTAGGTAGTAGGTAGTAGGTAGTAGTCGGTAGTAGGTAGTAGTAGGTAGTAGTCGGTAGTCGGTAGTAGGTAGTAGGAAGTAGGTAGTAGGCAGTAGGTAGTAGGTAGTAGTAGGTAGTAGGTAGTAGTAGGTAGTAGTAGGTAGTAGGTAGTAGGTAGTAGGTAGTAGTAGTCACAACAAGTTTAAACAAGCACAAAGAAAAGGCCAGGGACACAGGATCAGATTAATAGGGGGTAGTAGTGCAGATTATTGATGGGGGACCGGCCCTTGTGAGGGGTACCCTTTGTGAGCTTGTCAAATGATTGTTTTTAATTGTTTTTTAATAAGGCAATTTATAGGCCCTGAGCCCTAGACATTTTTAAGGATTTCATCAAACATGTAGTAGGTAGTAGGTGGTGATGGTGGTGGTGGTGGTCGTGGTAGTAGCACGTAGCAATAGCAGTAGCAGCAGCAGCAGCAGCAGCAGCAATAGCTACAGCAATAGCTAGTAGCAGTAGCAGTAGCAGTAGCAGCAGCAGCAGCAGCAGCAGCAGGAGTAGTAGTAGCAGTAGTAGTAGTAGTAGCAGCAGTAGCAAGTATAATGTCAAGTCAGGATAAATAAACCTCCACTAGTTAACCCCTTATTAAAAGTAATATTATTTTTTGTTGGATTGTGTAGGCTCGGATTAACTGGGGGGGGGTTGTTGGTAGAAAATTAGACAATAGGGGGGGAAATCAACAGCGAATAATACTTTTAATTTGGGCAATTTCCGGGGGCTTTGTGGGCTCGGATTAACTAGGGGAGGTTTATTAATCCTGACTTTGCATTAGCGTTCTTGTTACTAGCAGCGATGCCCTTTGTTCCTAGTAGCTTCCTGTTACTAGTAGTAAGGCCAGGAGCTACTAGTAGCGTCCTTGCTCCTAGTAGCGATGCCCTTTGCTACTAGTAGCTTCTTGCCAATGTGAGTCTTGTGTCAGGCACCGTGCGCCTCATGGACATTGCTGCAGAGCGTTGCGCGTCCGCCGGGCCGTCAGGGGGTTCAGCGAAGCCCTTTCCGTGGGAGCTCACGGGAGTGCGTTGAATAGTTTTTCATGTGTGCCGTCGTGCTATGTCATGCTGGATGTGTTCCTAAGACTCACCTTTTGGTGAATTTGGCGATGAGCCATCCAGTGCGAAACCTAGGTGTGGCGCGCGCACACCAGAGGGGCCAATAAAGTCGCCGGGAGACTCAGTCTCAACATGGAACTGGATGTCCATCGACCCATGTTGAGACATGTGACAACTTCTCCAATCCCCCAACTGGGATTACGTGAGTTACAAAGCTTTAGAGCCCAAGGTCTAGATAACCCTTTACTGCAGGCAAGAATACTGTCTGGAACACCACCTTGCTATCAGGCCCCAGGTCTTATTAGATCTTGCTTTTGGTGTTCTTTTCTGTTTTGCTTTGGACAGGCCTTTCTCTTTTCCTTGAGTTCTTTTATAGGGTTCTTCATGGCCAGTCCTTGTATTCTTTCGGCTTGAGTCACGACCGACATGGCTCTATGAGGTGACCACCTGTGAGGAGCCCAACCTGGTGACTTCTTGTGGAGGTGACGGAAAGGTGCTCAGCTCAGCTCATGGCCGACCAAGACACTTCTGGATCATTCTTGACCGTCCTTATGCAACGTCCAAGGTGAGACAGCATGACAGGCAGGGAACGTCCCTTGCTGATTAGCTTCTTGCTACTAGTAGCGATGGCCTCCAACCTACTAGCTGCTAGCTTCTTGTTCCTAGTAGCTTCTTGTTACTAGTAGTAAGGCCAGGAGCCCCTAGTAGCGTCCTTGCTCCTAGCAGCGATGCCAGGAGCCCCTAGTAGCATCCTTGCTCCTAGTAGCGATGGCAGGAGCCCCTAGTGGCCTTTTGCTACTAGTAGTAAGGCCAGGAGCCCCTAGTAGCGTCCTTGTTCCTAGTAGCGATGCCAGGAGCCCCTAGTAGCGTCCGTGCTTCTGGTAGCGATGCCAGGAG